GATGCTGAATCTGGTGATGCTGATAATACTGATGATGAAGCTAATGCTGATGCTGATGTTGATGCTGCTGACACTGCTTACGCTGCTGACGCTGTTTACGCTGCTGATGCTGCTGACGCTGCTGACGCTGCTGATGCTGTTGACGCTGCTGACGTTGCTGACGCGGCTGACGCTGTTAACGTTGCTGACGCTAATGATGCTGCAGATCCTAATGACGCTGATGACACTGATCCTGAAGATGCTGATGCTAATGATGCAGATGATGCTGATGACACAAATGATTCTGATGATGATGCTCATGACGCTGATGATGCTGACGATGACGCTGATGATGCTGATGATGACGATAATGATGCTGATGATGCTGCTGCTTATGCTGATGCTGATGCTGATGCTGCTGACGCTGCTGACGTTGCTGAGAAAGATGCTGCTACTCCTGATGCTTATGTTGCTAATGCTGATGCTGATGCTGATAATGCTGATGTTGCTGATGCTGCTGATGCTGCTGCTGCTGATGATACTTAAGCTGATGCTGATGCTGCTGATACTGATGCTGCTGACCCTGATGCTGATGCTGCTGATGCTGCTGATGCTAATGCTGATGGTGCTGATGCTAATGCTGATGCTGATGCTGCCAATGCCGATGCCGTTGTTTATGCTGTTGACGATGCTGACCCTGAAGACGCTGTTGACCCTTCTGACGCTACTTACGCTGATGATGCTGATGCTGATGACGCTGATGACGTTGCTGTTGATGATGGTGATGATGCTGATGATGACGCTGATGCTGCTGCTGATGATGCTGATGACTATGATGATGCTGCTGCCGCTGCTGAAGACGCTGACATTGTTGACTACGACACTGATGATGCTGATGATGCTGATGATGCTGATACTGATAATGCTGATACTGATGTTGCTGATCATGATGCTGATGCTGATGCTGCTGATGCTGATGTTAATGCTGCTGGCCATTCTAACGCTACTAACGCTTATGATGCTGATGCTGATGACGCTGATGACGCTGATGACGTTGCTGTTGGTGATAGTGATGATGCTGATGATGACGTTGATACTGCTGATAATAACGTCAATAATGCTGATGATGACGCTGATGATGTTAATGATGACACTGATGATGCTGATGCTAATGCTGCTTCTGCTTCTGCTGATGCTGATGCTGATGCCGCTAATGCTGATGCTGATGCTGGTGCTAGTGCTGCTGATGCTGGTGCTGCTGGTGTTGCAGC